TAGAGCCAATCAACTATATATTATACAAGTTTTCATTTTAGCTATAAACGAAAAATAGCTTATACATACCTTTATGTTCTTGAGGTCTATCTTTAAAACATTGTCTGCTCGGCCGCCATTTTGAAGAAGGGGATACTTTGTTTTTTTTCAATTATATTTGTTTCTAACTTGATTATTTATGTTAAGACAATAAACTGTATGATTTTATATGTGAAACGTCAACATTATAATAAATCGATTCATGTTCTGCAAGAATTACTGATATATATCAAATTAATGTACTTTTTCGTCATTTTAAAGCATTATTTTAAATTTCTATGTGAATTTTCCTTTCAAAATTGTTAAATATACATTCCCTTGCATTTATCCTGGCAAGCTAATATAGATAGACTCACCATAAATGTTTTTTTATTGTTATTGGTTCCACGTTTATGACTATTATTACTTTTGTTGGCGGCCATCTTGGATTTGACCTATTTTCGGATGGTTCCCCATTTCCGATTTTGGTAAACTATTTTTTATTTTAATGCATATGTGTCAATGCACCAAAACCCAGCAATAAACCCGTTCCGTCAATTTTGTTGAACCTTGACCTTTTAATTACTGGACCATAGGTGTTTTCAGAAGTTATTAATCCTTTGTAGAATGAAAAAAAGAAGTTTTTTCATAGTCCAGCTATTGCTATCTAAATCCCTATGAGCAGCAACAGAACAAACCAATTATGGAAAAAATTGAACAAGCATAAGGGAAACTTAGTAAGAGATTAAAATCTTTAGTAGATCTTGTGTTTTGACAAATACATAGGTGTGTTCACATGCAAGCTGTTGTTATCTCTATCTCTTTGCAGCCTGTGAGCAAACCAATTCTACCCCGAACTGGAGCAACGTATCGTCAGACTCAAGGAACATGTACATGTCGGTGAAGTGAGCCCACTCCAGCTCAGTGATGCAAGTTAACTACAAGCATATAATTATTCCATGTTTGTTGACATTGGCATTGCATGGATGAAACTGTAGACAAAGTGCACTGTAGGCAATAGGAGATTTATCTGAAGTTACAAGGGTGGGTTTTCCAGCAAGTCAATGAGAGAATTGAGAAACACTCCTGGAATGGCCCAGCTACATCCCGGACCTGAACCCAGTTGAAAATATTTGGAGAATCAGGAAAGGTAATATCAATAAAAACAATCTGAAAAATGTGATATGAAAGGAGAGGTGGTGAGATATTGAGACGCATGAATTTTTAACTTCCTTGATAGGCAGTATGCCTCCCCGCACTGAACCATATATAAGGAAAAGAGGTAGTCTGGCAAAATATTGCTGTTTTGTGTCTGGGTCAACTCGTAACAATCATTCATTCTAAACATGCTGGATGTGTCTTGTGTATGCACGAAATTATTCTTTTGAAATTCAGTGTCGTGCATTGACGTTATTAATTATAATGTCTGGTAAACGTGGAGGAGAAAAGTATCAATAACACAGTGTGTCTGATCGATTTGCTGTGTCGAGACGTGTAAGCTGAATCAGTTGGTCTTTTTTATGCAGAATGTAGGTAAACATCAACATCTTTTGTCTGATGGAAAGTTCTTCACACCCGTAAAGATTTATCGACTTCTCCTTAGAAGTATTCAAAATCGCATATTGAGTTATGATCAAACAAATGTGGTCATCTAGTAATGAAAATCCATAGGCAATTAATTCTTACAGCATTCGATTGAGAAGTATGGCAATTCAATTTAAACAACACTTAAGAGCCTTTGGAAACATATATTTAGGTCCTACTTTGAGGTTTAAATTATGAATAACATCAACATGATTTGATTTGGTAACCTTGAGGAACTAATCAACATTTGCTATTTTAATGCTGTGGTAATGTTTGACATCCAGGGCCCCGTTCCACAAAGCGATCGTAGCGCTACGACTGTCGCAAGACTATGTTAAAGTATGGAAGTTACGATCATCTTAGCGCTACGATCTCTTTGTGGAACAGGGCCATGTGCGGAAATCGTTGCTATATTCCATGGAGCTCCAAAATTGCTGTTTCAGGATTTGGGCATGATCATATCTCGCAACCATCTCTTACAACTAAAATGGTACTTTTTAAGTTCAAACAGAGCCGTAGTAGACTATTTTGGCATATCTGAAAATACGTCATTAGTGTTGAAATAAATGATCTAAACAAAACTGTTATTAGCTTTACATATCCAAATTCCTTTGTGGGCATCAAGATATGACGTCTTTGTTCAATATACTGAAGCCAATAAATACGAACTTTGTACAAACTTTACCTCCTTCAAATGTCCTTATTGCCAATTGTGAAACCCATTTCTGGTATCCACTGCTGAAATATTGCATAAAGCGGCATAAAACCATACTCACTCACTCATTACCATTGAGAGAAAAAACTGACGTAACGTGTTTCAGCGACGCAGTTGCGGGCAAGGAGCCTCTAATCGTGGATTCGAATGCCCTAATCTGACCGATTGTGACCCTTTGTGTATAAGCACCGTATGCATGCTCGTTGGTTACATATGCGTGTGGACTTTCTTCTCTATATGTACAGACAAATGTACAGATAATTAGGAGATAAACATACTGTGTTTTTCAATGTAGAGCAAGGTTACCTGTAGATTTAACCGCGCTATATTGAATTAGGAACCGAACGCGCATCGCGAGGTTTCAAATGTTACATTTAGCGCGGTTAAATCTACAGGTAACCTAGCTCTACATTGAAAACACAGTATGTTTATCTCCATTCTAACCATGACTCAATAAAACGCGAACTCTTTGGTGTTAGCAAATATATTGAGTGACCTATGGGTTGAGTCCAGTGTTTTGAGTGGGTTGTCGATCTGAATTACGGAATCACCGGCAACAGCCTATAAACAAACCATGGCGCTGTATAATTAGACTCCAGCAGTTTGTTTACACAGTAATACTTCGCTCGAACATATGACAGGCATTGAAAGCATATAAGCACGGCAAATTGGTAAGCTAACATGAGGTGGACATACCTAAAAAAAACTAAGCAAGCTTTGCAAGGCTTTCGTTCTACACCGCACGTCACAATTATGACGTCTCGTCGCTCATTGTGACGCGAAAGATATGTCTCCAAGACGTAAATACATTCTCTGTAGATTTCTATCGTGTTTTCTATACGAAATGTATTGCCACACATCCTATGAATATGGCAGTAACCGCAACTGTGCATTTTGTAACCTGTAATTGAAGATATAATAATTTAGATATGTCCCCCCGACAATGACTGGAAAAAGTACTATTCTTTCTACGTTAGCTTCCGCGGTGATGCCGCCGTCAAACTAGCTGTTTCAATCAGAGGGGGTTTATTGTCATTTATAGCCTCTGATTGACCAATCAGAATCGAGTAATTTCCAAAGTCATAGCAGAATCAGTGTTATCACCTGTTGATTGATCTGGATAATGTGGGAAGGAGATTTCATGTTCAGTCTAAAATTGTTGAATCTGGGCTCTGGGTGTGTGAGGATTTCACAAACTATTGGAAATAAGGATATCTGTTTGCAAAACTCCATACAAAGACTGAAAGATACATGTCTACAAGAGTGAAACGATTCATAGTTGTGACTCGAAACTGTGCACGGGAATCACGCACGTTGAGACGCCCAACGCTAACACCGTATTCGTGCGTGCGTGATTCCCGTGCACCCATTCGAGTTGAGTTGATTGGTTCAACTGCGCCATGATGCAGGGGTAGCATTATGCAGATGGCTGTTTCAATGAATGCTCGTTCCACCCGTGACGAACAGGTCTGGTTGTTGATGAAATATAGTGATAGATAAATAGACAGATTTTTTATTCATGCACCGATTGTCTTTAAATGTAATATCCAGTTATGGATGACTGTTTAATAATCTCATACCAACTTTGACTGGAGTAGGTCCGATAGTTTTTCAGATATTGTAGTAAACGTCGGGACTTAAATTACCTTCCAGACTATATTTAACAAAGATTGTCTAAGATACATGGCTTTAACAATGAACATGAAGCCCAGTTAATTTTACCATTTTGGAGCGCCTGAAATTGCATTTTATAACATGTTTTGACACATCGTAAGGCATTTTCAAAATATGATACCAATATTTAAAAGCTCTTTTATACGCATAAACATAAAAAAGGATTAACGTCCACATTCACCCCTCACAACATGATTTGAGTAATCATATGTACGCTCTCAATTTTTTTCTCAAGCTTAAGGGAGAGTTGAGTATTGGAAAGTTGAAGTCATCCCTCTTTCATACAATCTTGTTGTTTCTATCACTCCGAATTTTTATAAATACATCTTAAAATGAAAATATGAGATAGTTTCACTGGTCTTTTGTACTTTAAGTTCAGGTGGGTTAATATAAATTGACAATGCAAGAGAATAACCAGTCTAGATTATCCGCCGAAGAGATTCCATTTGGCAAAATAGCCATGAAAATTATATGAATAGACCACAGAAAATCAAATTGAATGTTTTTTCCGTTGTTTAACGATATCAGATAATCGATATACCTACAAGGTAAGTAATGTTGAAACAAAACCATTTCCCCACTTACATCTACTGTTCTGAAATTCGAAATTGTTAGACTAAGTATAAATAAATTCATGTTGGACCCTTTCATTGGAATCTTTCCTGTGGTCACCTTAGCACAGCAGTTTATGGCTTTAGAGATCTTGAAATCCTTCAAGGCTAAGAACTACCAAATGATTATGGTATTTTTCCGGAAACCCTCCGGATACCTTTAGCTTCCTTAGCAATCTTCTTGGTCATTTTCATATGTTTTTTTCCGTGTATTTCATACTTAACTGAACAAGAGGCCTTACCAATGTTTTTAAGAACAAAAATTTGGAAGGTTTCCAGTAGGCGTCCGGAAAACGGAAACCTGACTTTCATTCTGAACTTTCTATCAAAGTTGAGTATTATGCAATCCCTTACTTTTAATTCTCGTACCCATATGTCTAAACACCCCCCTGTCCTACCTTCAGAAAGGCGCAAGAAGAGCATGGACAGACCAACCAGGCACCGAGACATCCCGCTGCAGCTGTTGAAACCTCCGAATGCATTTAACTTGGAGATAGTGCTTTGTTAGACGATAGCAAAAATCAATCAATCGTCCTTGACAATATCGATTATTTTGTTCCCACTTTGACACGTTTCATGGTAATCAATAGTATTTATCACGACTCTCATTATCAAATAATGTAATCTTTTCCAGCAAATGTTTCGATTTAAACTTTATTGATTCAACATTATGGAAATGCTTATATCCTTTTAGTGGAAACGCTGAACATAAGTCCTCGAATAATTATATTGTCTTAGAATACAAAGAAAAATATGAGCACCATACTTTGGGACTGTAATTTGTATAAAACTACAAATCACATAACAACTTGAAGACAAGAGTACAAGAGTACATTTTACCACATGGGTTAATAAGTGCGTCCCAACATCTTATATTGATTACGAATCCTTATCAACAGGACAATAAGGATTTAAGTGAACACCTCAGTATAAGTTTTTCAGTTTTCATGATCACTACTTTGTCTTGTCCAGACTCACCAATGCAAATTCCATCGTGATATAGCGGGAATATTACTGGATGCGGCGGTAAAACACTTACTCACTTCACTGTCTTTCCTTGTTGGTAAATAGGGTCTATAGACTGAAACCTGTACTGGAAACTTACATCGTTGTTAAGCGACACAAGGATTGACTGACCCGGGCCTTTGTCCATTTCGGGGCAAAAGGCAAACCAGCGATGAAAATTATGTGAATGGATGACTGACATGACAACATATGATGTCAACAGGTGTTTGCGAAATGGGTAAGGATGTTCTGCTCTACCAAACAATTACAAAGAGGTTGACTTTCAAGTGATGAGTTAAACCGAGGAAGCTGACACTGTGCACGCTTGTGCGAAAATAACGTACCCACGGGTTTGTTTTGAAACGGTGCGTTAGCCTGGTGGATAAAGTGTCCGCTCGTCACGCCGTCTATCCGGGTTGGATTCCCCGATACTCCCCTCTTCGCCGTCGATTTAAAGGAATATTGTTATGTGGGGAGTAGAAATTCACTCACTTGTTAAGCGGTTTTAAATACAAATTTCACGTACACATGTATTTGCAAAAATTGAAAAGTCAAATGTAACGCTTTAAATTCGCCGCCAGTGTATTCTATTGGCCACTATTGCCAAACACATTATACTGATCATAAATGGGGATCATTCATATTTCTGGGAATATTTAACGGAACTGTGTGCTCATCAGTCTTCACTACGTTTTGTTTAGTTTATATAAAAAGCACGACCTGATTTGCATAACCCGAAATCAATAGGTAAAGGGTTTGCTGTGTCCGTGAACAGCTTCAAACAAAGTGTAGAGTCAACCTTGGCGTATTGACAAATGCTCGTAGAGCATGAATCGCGTACCCTATTCAGTGGAAATGGATTCTTCCGCTGCACCATTAACGCCTTCTGTCCAAAAATGCGGTGATCACGCAGATTTTGTTCATCAGAAAACAAAGCTTGGCATTAGAAGACACTCAATCATTGCTTCTTCCACGTGGGGGCTGAGTTGGAATGGGGTTCAAGATCACGTACATAACGGCATCTGTGTGTGCGTGTGTGCGTGTGTGCGTGTGTGCGTGTGTGCGTGCGTGCTTGTGCTAGTCCGGACTAATGCATGTTTTATAGTGCCAGAACACTGAGATACCATACCGCAGTTTAATATGGATACCCCACTCAGACACAGGATGCCGACTCCGAGACGACCACTCCTTGTTTTATCCCCTGAATGCGGAACGCCAGGCAGGGTAACAACAAGTACCACATTTGAACGTCTTTTGGTATGACGCGGCTGGGGATCGAACCCCGGGCCTTCCGCTCTCCGGGCAGACGCTCTATCCACTAGACCACGGTGGCGATGTCAAGATCCTAGGAAGTTCCACTGATTCAATCCAAAGAAGGTAAAATGACAGGGTTACAATATCATAAATGCTCAATATACAGTTTGTGGTCACACTTTTCACACGCGTGAATAGCCAACCTTTATATATACCTACTCTGGGAAGTTGCTTTGCTTTAATGGTTTTGACAGGTTATGTCAAAGGTCAAGGCCATATTATTTTCCTTGTGTCATTGTGATTTTCAGAGTGTTTCCTCTATAGAAGATGTTTGTTTTGTTTGTTTGTTGTTTGACGCCGCACTCAGCAATATTCAAGCTATATGACGGCGGTCTGCAAATAATCGAGTCTGGACCAGACAATCCAGTGATGGACATCATGCGCATCCATCCACGCAATTGGGATACGATGACATGCATCAAACCAAGTCAGCGAGCCTGACCACCCGATCCCGTTAATCGCCTCTTACGACAAGCATAGTCGCCTTTTACGGCACGCATGGGTTGCTGAAGACCTATTCTTCCCCGGATCGTCACGGCTCCTGTCGAAGATGAAACTAGATAAATGTATGCATTTAATAAACAAATCCTACATCAAATTGTATCGTTAACTGTATCACTGTATCGTTGATGTACTCTAATTGGTATACTGCTGGCCCCGATCGTAGCTTTAAGATCGTAACTCCCACACTTTCACACAGATTTACGGCAGTCGAAGTGCTAATGCCACTTTGTGGAACGAGTACCTGGAAAGGATTTTTGCTGCATCTTTAGAAGTTTCGATGCGTGATATAAATGGAACAGCGTTTGAGACATACAACGTAATCAGCATCATATCTTGATAAATCGATATATAGATAACAACGGGTTTCTGTTTTCAAACTAGGAGAATTTGGATAAGAAGGGCGGTGAAGTAAATAAACATCAGTAATTGCCTTATTCTTCCAGGCCCCGAAGGAGGGGAAGTGTAAGGGTTAGTTTAATTTTATAGCATCTCTGTCGCCATTTTGGTTTGTTTGAAATTTCAAGCCAACTAGTTACCGAAACGAAACATACAAATTATGTGCATGAAATGTTAGTGCTATCCTTTACCTGCAATAAGAGATACTTTGAAATTGTCCTTATGTAGTTAGTTAATGTATCTGACTTTTTCTGGTAATTAGCTGACATTATTAAACCCTTTCGAATAATCCAATGACGTTGTGTTACGCAAGGACTAATTTTCTGATTCGCACGGTCTATACAAAAGAAGAACAATACTCCGGACATCGTTTCTTACAACATAATATAAAATATGTTCTTAATAGGCTTATAAACAACGACACCAACTCAGATAACATGTTTGTTTGTTTGTTGTTTAACGCCACACTCAACAATATTCCAGCTACATGAGGGCGGTTTTGTTTATACAATTGACATCAGGTAGATTTTTAGTAAATTTATTGTACCTAATAAAGTCGATATATTATATTTAATATCATAGATACAAATATGAAATTTTGGAGCTCGATAGTTACATGTTGTCGTTGTGTGCGGTGGAGCGTTGTCCTGTTGAAACAGCTCTCTGGCGGTCAATGATTGGAAGAAGGTGAGGCTGAAGAATGTAATTCATGTAGCGATTTGCTGTAAAATTTCCCTGAACCACAACCCAGTCAGAGCTTGTGGTAAGAGATATGACCCCCCACACCATAACACTACCGAATTGTCGAATTCACGTACACAATGTGGGGCAAAACGCTCATTTCGACGACGATAAACACGTTGTCTTCCATCTCGCCAGTGAAGAAGAAATCGTGATTCATGGCTAAACCACACTAGTGTCCGGTTTCTAGTGTAAGGCTGTAAGGTATGGCATCAACGCAAGCGTCGGTGTCAATAGATCTGTTGCAAAACAGGGACGATAACAGGTTTCTGGGTCGGATTCCAGCCTCGCGAAGATGGTCCCTGACAGTCTGGTCCAAGATCCTCCTCAAACCAGGAATGCGTCCTGCAGCCTCCGTAGCTGAGGCATTGCGATGACGTAGGTGGAACAGTCGCATGTAGCGATCCTGTGCAGGGGTGGTAACTCTTGGTCGGCCTGTTCTCTGACGGTCAGCAATGGAATTGAACTGTGAGTATCGGTCAAAAAGGCGGCAAATGGTGCTCTGGTGGACGTCGAAGTGGCGTGCAACAGAGGACTGCGATTCCCCTCTTTGGATACGTCCTATGGCGATGTTCCGATCGTCAGCGCTGAGTCTCGGCATTTTCGAACTTGAAAAATGCTGACATTTGAATGACAAAATATTGGATTATGCTTGCCTTTTTAAAGCCACTACCACGAGTTGCGAATGCCATAACTAGCACGTGCATTTTGCTTTACTCTTTTCCTCCATGACATTTTTTAACAAATGTGAAAACAATGCTGTTTTAAGACATTGCAAATCGACAATGGCTGCGTTTTGACGCACCGTTTGTCGAATATCAGGCCACCAACATTTTCCAATAACATATATCAAATTTATATACCGGAATGTTTGTGTAGTCGGGTTCAAAGAACTACATACTACATCTGCGTTTATTTTTTTGAAGAGTGTAGGTCTTCAGCAACCCATGATTGCCATAAGAGGCAACTGACGGGATCGGGTGGTCAGGCTTGCTGGTCTCATGAATTGGTTGATGTCACTGTATCCCAATTGCGTAGTTTGATGCTCATGATGTTAATCATTGGATTGTGGGGTCCAGGCTCGATTATATACAGACTGCCGTCATATAGCTGGAGTATGGCGTAAACCAACAAACAAAACACTTTTTTTTAAATAGAGCGACCCTATGCAAATTGATCAACTGTATTGACAAACACTAATTATTAATAATTTCATTTTTGCATAAATATCTTTTTGCATGTGGAAAATATAATTATGCACTTTCATGCATTTCACTTCTGCCATGCAGAAACTCCATGTAGTATTCGGTCACATCATAATTATGGGTTTGTGAGGCATCACATATGGCGGGGAACTTTGATGCTCGGCATCAATGTTTTCTTGTTTGCTATGGGTTTGAGAAAATTACATGGGGGCATGGGCCATAGGGGATGGGTTTTCGTTGGATAGATTGACCAAACTTTTAAAAGAAACTTTTCGCACATGTGTAGTGTATAATGACATG